TCGGCATGTATTAACTCTATATTCACTGGTTTTCAGAGGTTTGAGTTTTGTTGAATTGAAAGTTCTGGAAAACCACAAGATAACAGCAGGTTGAACTATGCCATAACAGTTTCTCATTAGCAAACTAACCAATGGTTGTTCTTCACTCAAGACCTAGAACCCATCCAATGTTTTCTTGCCATGGCCCACCCAACCCAACAGTCCTTCAAGTCTGAACTCTGTTCTCCTCATGGCTAGCAGTACCCTTCTGTCACGATCTGAAATAACGATGCCACAGCAACTCAACTTTCATATCAGCTCCGATCCTTACACAGACTTTTGTGCCTTCTGCCATGGCCCTGATGCTGGTCTTGCATTATAGGGGGAACTTAAGACAGGTATCACCAAGAGACAAGTGTTAAAATGCCCAAACTCACCACTGCATTCCTGTTTCATTTTTGGAAAGAAACAGTATTTACCTGGCAGACAGTTGCATTCATAGACGAAATCACCAGTCTGATGACATGTCCCTCCATTCATACATGGTGAAGGTGAACATGGCACATACGTGCTTTCACAGCGGTGGCCGGTAAAGCCTGGCTTGCACTGACATCGATAGGAGCCAGGCACATTGAGACAGGTTCCACCATGCTGGCATTGTCCTGGTGTGGTACACTCATTCACATCAACTTCACATTTTTGTCCAGTGTAACCAGATAGACATGTACAGAAAAACCTCTCCCCAGATGCGATGCAAGTACTTCCATTGGCACACGGCTGAGACATGCAAGCATCAATCCACTGACAGTTCTTTCCTGTGGAATCAAGACATTTGAGTTTAAATAAGTAGAAACTGTTTGTATAGAAGATACCCCATATTTTTATGACACTTTCAAATCCCTCCAACACAACTGCATAAACAAACTGGAACAGGAGAAAGCACCTCAGCTCTGCATTCCTCATTGTAACCAACAATATGATTTAGTTTTAGCTCATTTATACAGGACCCACAAGACAGCAAATACCATGATTTATGAGCAATAAATCCATAAGCTGGAATTCTACTGCACTGATTATATTTGCTCACTTCCCTTGCATTGTCTTCAAAGATGAAAAGCAGATTTCTATATGTTCCTCTTACACAGAATTAAACCTTCCTATAAGAATATCTTGCTATTCAAAATTGTTCAATAAGATGCTCTTAGGGCCTGCCCACCTATGAAAATTATTCTGGAGTAATGTTCGGTGTAAACTTCATAGAACACTGGGGCTGGAAGGGGCCTCAGGAAGTCATCTAGTCCCATCCCCTGCTCAAGGCAGGATCCTCTTTGACTGAAACACCCCAGCCAGGTATCTGTCTAACTGCTCTTGAAAACTTCCAAGGATGAAGATTCTGCAAAGTCTCTGGGTAGCCAGTTGCTCTACCTGACCATCCTCACATTGAGAAAGTTCAATTTTGAACAACAGTCACTGTCTTGGAATGACTACACTAATCAGTTGCCCCATGTATACAAAATGCATGCATATATTCAAAGATCAACTCTAAAAGGTAAGAAGTCCAAAGTCTGGCCTTTTTTTTTCCTTTTTCTTTACTGTTCATGTTGTGTGCCCAAGTTCTCATTTATAATGTGAAAGCTATTAGCCTGATAGCATTTTAGAGCAACACAACAGCATTTCTGGGAGGGTTCAACTAAGCTTTTAAGGACATAACATGAGGAAACTAAAGATATATATGTAGAATCCCACCTGTGTAACCTGGCTTGCACACACACTCATATGCATCTGGGCTAAGCAGTTGGCAGGTTCCTCCATTTAAGCAGGGGTGTGACACAAAGCAGATGTGAGAATCAGGATATCTGCAGTCCTCGCCTCTGAACCCTGGAGCGCATTTGCAAGTGGCCTTTCCTATCACAGACGTGGTTTCACATGTTCCTCCATTCTGACAGGTACTGCTTTCACAGGGGTTTCTGTACTGACAATAGTCTCCAAGAAAACCTTCTGGACATCTGGAAGAGAAAAGTCATGAGTAGTAATATGTTCACACTGAACCTCATTACACAAAATCCCTGCACTAGATTCCCACTGGTATCTCAGACATCTCAAAGACTCTGTTTTCCTATCTAAACTGCAATGCCAACAGTTCCTACTATAACAGTTAAGGCCCTCGTTTTTTATGGCTGGCCACAGTGATATTCTGGAAAACAGAAGATCATAACAATTAACTCTCAATGTAAAATTCCATTAAGTGCAACTTGAGTTTCATTAAGCACAAAAATTTTACCCTCTTCCTCCCTTCACCCTTGCAGATATACTTCTCTTTC